AATTTGACATCTGTAGCGATTGTGACTTTTCACTTACAAATCTTTTACTGTACTGTGCTTCATGCTAAGATTAGCATTGTTTTAGTAAATTGTTTTAGTAGTTTAATGGCTTCACATTTTAGATACAGCATTTGTGTTTTTGTAATTAAGTATTGCTAACTTTTGAACAAACAAATTAGCTAATTTGGCTAATCTTGAATGCTAGTCCTAGCTAATGTTTTAGCCGTATATTTGCTTGTCATTTGGCAAATTTTAATTTCCTTGTAATTGTTGATTGTTTTGTCTACAAGCCATCATTTTGCTCCCTGTTTTTAGTGCGAATGCTGTTTTAGGTGCTAGTGATTAAAAATAGAGTTTATTGAAGCTATTTAAAACACAGGGACTCCCAGCTGAAGAAAAGCCTTGGCTAATAAACATTGCTTTATGTCAACTCTTTATCAACTTGCCCTCAGGTATTTTTATGTGAGCCACTTGGGACGTGTAAAAAAAGAAAAAAAGAAAAAAGAAAAAGTAAATAGTAAAACTGCACTGCTCCTCCTAATGGCCAACCAGTGTTAAAAAGCTGCTGCCTTTACACTACAAAGAGTCAAATGACCCCCTAAACTCCAACTGAATTATAGAAGACAGTGTTAAACATAAGGGTTGGCTGTTTCACAGCTCAGGGAGTCAGGTGTTCATAAAACTGTAACATGCATTCATAAAATATCATTGCTCTGCAGCTGCCAGATAAACACGGTTATATTTCCTCCCAAGGCCACTTGGAGAGAAATTACAGCCTCTCTCTCTCTCTCTCTCTCTCTCTGTGTCCTTTTTTTTTTTTTTTTTTTTTAATATATTGCACAGCCTCCGAGGACCATGTTGTTACAAGCTGCTGCTTTAAAAATACACAGAGCGATGATGAGGTGCAGCATTTCATCGAGCATAAGTCACTGTCACTCTGGCGTCTGCCAAGCGTACCTGTGAAGAAGATCATAAAGTTCCCAGCAGCTGCGACGCTGTTCAATAAGATATCAAGCTGGGAACAAAGTGTCTGAGCCAGTGGGACTGAGTGTGAATGTGTGAATGTGGAGCTGCCTGTCGTGATTCTGCGTTTCTGCTCGTCCTGTGCGCGGCAGCCGAGCCCTGAACACGATCTGAACCGTTACAGTGGACGGCACTAAAACAGGACCTTTTACTAAGACCAAGTCACACCACCTTCAACAGAAGCTTTCTTTCACTTTCAAGAATTTTTAGACATTAAATTATAGCTGTATATATATATATTGCTAACATACAGCTTGTTGTTGTTTTTGAAAATATTTAGCTCTCCTTAATTAGTAACTTAACGTTTACTTTAAATTAGCACCATTTATTGCCTATTGTTAATATTATTCATTTTTTATATCCATATATTATGATTTTTTCTGTTAATATTACTCATTTTTTAATATCCATATATTATGATATTCCTCTTCTATTTCCATCTTTTACTACATGTTTTATCTTAAACAAAACAGGCTTAAAATCATACATAAAACCATTTGGTTGAAGGACCCAATCACCTGAGACTCCTGCGGGTTTCAAACCGACCTTTGTCAGTGTTTGCTGTACATTATACAGAAGGCAGATAAACCCACCACTCCCCCTGATGTCACTGTTACACTACAAAAGGCCTTAGCTCACAATGAACCCTGAATACTGTACAACAGCCTCTCCCTCCCCCTCCCTCCTGTCTGTCATCAAGATCTGTCAATCAGTTCACAAGTTCAACCCCCACCCCCCCCCCCCCCCGGGCCAGCAATGATAAGAGCTTTTGCTCATGCTCAAAAGACTTTTTTTTTCTTACCTCATTCTTTACAGTTTGAGTGGCAGAACAACTGTCAACTGCCCTCGGGAACCATATGGTGGGAGTGAAGGTGCTACATAGAGACGTCAGACCATTTGTTCTCCGACATGAAGCTGCTCCTGATGAGACTTTACTGAAAGAGAGAGAGAGAAAAAAAAAAACATTTTTGGCATGTTCCGTCGTGTGTTACAGTCAGATCACGAGACTGGAATCTCTTGATTGACTGAGAGGCCCTTTCACCTTCGCTTACAGTAAATTCCTGCCTCATGTTCTGTTTTTTTTTTTCTTTCCGCCCCATTTTAGTGTCTTTCACAAGATTTAAGGTTGCAAGCTCAGATAACGATCATTTAGTCATTTCTGTGAGTGATGTTTTAAGAATGCTACTGCCTCAGAATTCTTTGGTTTAAATGTCAAATGTAAAAGGCTGGGGCGAAAACCTGCAACAGAATCATGAAAAACATTGTGCAAATTTTTAATTTCTATTGTTTTTATAGGACAATCTATGAAGAAATAATAATAATAAAACTTAGCAGCCCTAGTGTATGTTAATCATGTAGATCAGTGACTTTACTAGATTCACATTTAAGCTATATTTAAAATATTAATTTATGTTTTACCTCTTAATCCTTCCAGAGTCACAGGGGGCGCTGCAGCCAAAACAGTCAAGGCCCTCCACACAGCGTTAGCTCCCGGGACCTCCATTGCAAATCCATAAACAATGCTACAAAATATGTATATAAAAAACGTTTAGAATGTATTTTCTGACTTTAATTCATTATTTAACAATAATTACATTTATGATATGACAATCATCGATGATTGTGTTTCTAGCGCTTTATTTTCCCACTGAATAATAAACCTTTCAACGAACTGCGATTAAGAATAGAACGAAGGAAATCGAACCTCGTTTGCGTATTTGGGAGATCGCGGCCATTTTCTGTATGGCTGTAAAGCCGTACTTAATGTTATGCTGCGTCATATGTTTGGGTTTTAGTTTGGTCATGAGTTTTTGGGATTTGTTTAGCAGCAGAGTACTCCACTACAGGGCCGTTCGTCTGTCCTTTTTGTCTATTTCTTCTCAAAAAACACATCAATTCCGCGCTAGCGAGCTACATGCTAGCTTGGAGAGCGGAGCAGGTTCATACCAACGACAGACCGCAGGGGACTACGTATTATGACGTCACAAGGTCAAGGTTGGAGCTTTACAACGAGGTGCGTTCATGTACCATCGGACATTTGAGAATCCGACGATTATCGTACTTTGTGTTATACGGTTCGAGACAAGTGGCAATAAAAAATACATAAATAAAAAGAGCCCCCTGGTGGTTGAAAAGCACTGACACAAACGAACAACTCACATTTACAGCTATGGTCTAATAAAAGTAGAAAAAATTAACCTAATCCTTTCTGAACTGTGGGAGTAAACCGGAGTAACTGTAACAAACTGACCGGAAGAACATCCAACACCACACAGCCAGACCAGGAAGTAAACAAACACATGTAACATGTCATTTAATCTACCTGCAGGTGGCGTATAATCCCCGAGCTACCGCCACCATACATTTCTTTTACAAATGTGTCACATCAGCAGATAGAAACACCTTCTACAAGACAAATTCCGCAAAGTTCAACAAGATTTTTTGCTTTAGTAATGAAGTGTCAGATTACCCAGACATTGCAAACAAGATTTTATTTTATATTTATTGTCAGGTTACATTGATTTTCCAGCTCAGGGCCACAAACCGTACTTGTACTGAAACTCCTGGCAAAAAGCCCAAACTACCAGTTTATTTTCTTTTACTAATCAGCGTGTCGTCGACGACACACGCTGTCATTTCTGTATTCTCTCTCATTAGGGCCTCGTCACCAATCACCCTCAGAAAACAAAGGCCATGACAAATCCTACCACTGCATCGCCGTCAAAGTCAACCACGACAAGTACAGCCAAAGTCGGACCAGCTGGACTTTACAGTCTGGTCCGGACCTCTTCAGCCCAGATGGTGATCCTCAAATTCACCTTCCAGGAAAAACAGTCTGGGAGCTTTGAGATCTGGGCATTTGTTAAAGTCTACTATGTCAAACTCTGCTCATTGTTGCCCGGGCCTCCAGCTCCAGACTCTTACCTGGGATTATGCCCCTCCATTAGTTAATCACCATCACTGTAAACCTCCTGAGTGCAGGGACTCAGACAATAGCAACCGTGTCACACACTGTCAACCTGCATTTTACTACAGCTGCGCTGGTATTATTCATATGGTTGATAAAGTGGTCGTCACCGCTGCGACATCTGCTGAGATTTAGCTTCTAAGAATGAAGTCTGGCTTCCACATGGCAGACATGTTTTTAATGTGAATGACTGAACACGTTTCCCTCCTGGCAGCGTGTTCACTTTATTGTCATTAAACGGTTTCACTGCTTTGATGAGTAAAGCTGTAACAGAGAGTAGGCACTGCAGTAAATGTCCAAACACCGCTGTCAGGATAAGAGCTTCTGCTCCGTCCAGATAACAGCCTTCTACCGTTTACTCTTGTCTGACCCGTTGCTCAATTTACCCAGTGTTCAAAGCCGCAGGTCACTCTGACCAGGTCTTCTGCGCACACAAATTTTAGGGAAAAGGATGAGTCAAATTTAGGGAAACACAAACACACATCACAAAAACAACATGATCTCATCGTACCAGGCAATGATTAATGGACTTTCCCCTGGTACCACGACAAGTTCACCGTGGTCCTTTGTCTCATCCTCTGCTCTGTTGTTCAATACTTTTGTAATAAGTGGAACAAAGGGCAATGACCAGGGGCTGGGTATCAGAAACGGACAGAACCATCTGCTTATAATCTGTGGTCACAAAGTGAAACAGTTTCTTTTCTGGCCTCCCTTATAAAATCCAAATGTCTGAATTATATATATAAAAAAACATTGATCCTATTTAGAGGAAAACAGAAGATAAAGCAGAAGTGTTCCTATTTTTTTAAAAATCTAAATGGTAGTTGCTACTATTTGAGAAACAAACCATTGATCATTTAAACTAGGTTGCACAAAATGTGGCTTGAGGGCCAAATTATTACACGTAAAAAAAACTTTAAGGATGCATTTTACATCTGCAGATATTTCTTTGTTTACTGGACCTAGCCTAGCCTAAAACACAATTTCTGGTAAAAGTCCTGCTACAGACACCAGCGTTAACGTTAGCTACACCAATCCTGGTACAAAGTCTTCAAATGTAAAACTCTAATAGCTGTAATTGTACTGTGAGGAAAAATGTTGTTCAGATTCAGCATCAACCCAAATGTAAATTTAAACTTTTCCTTCATGTAAAATACTGGATTAAGGTTGTTTATTATATTTAATGAGATGAAGTTAATGTATGACAAAGCATCCAGTGATGATCATTCCCCCTCATCATGTGAACCTGTCTGACAGGGAGTAACTTCACTCCGGCTTTATTCCCTGCTCTGCTTTTCCAAACTTAGTAAAAAGAGTGGGGGGATGAAGGGGGGGGGGGGGCGCGGAGAAAATGAGTGGGAGGAGAGAGAGGGAAGTGTTTTCTGTGAAACCTTG